CGACAGAGTGAGATTCCAACTCCCCTGCCCCCAAGAAAGAAATTTAGGTCTGAGGCCAGGTGTGGTGGTTCATGCCTGTAATCCCAGCATATTGGGAGGCGGAGGCAAGTCGATTGCCTGGGTTCTGGGGTTTGAGACCAACCTGGGCAACTTGGTGAAACCTCGTCTCTACAATAATTCAAAATATATAGGCCAGGCGTGGTGGCTCACACCTCTAATCCCAGCACATTGTGAGGACAAGGCGAGAGGATGGCCTGAGCCAGGGTGTTCAAGACCAACCTGGGCAACCTGGCGAGACCTCAGCTCCACAATAAATTAAAAAATTAACTGGATGTGGTGGCACAGGCCTATAGTTTCAGCTACTTGGAAGGCTGAAGCAGAAGGATTGCCTGAGCCCAGCATGTCAAGGCTGTGGTAGCTGTGAGCCTGTCACTGCACTCTAGCCTGGGCAACAGAGTGAGACTCTGATTCAAAAAAAAAAAAAAAAAATTTAGCCAGGCACAGTGGCACATTCCTGTAGTACCAACTACTTGGAAAGCTGAAGCAGAAGGATTGCCTGAGTCCAGCAGTTTGAGACTGCAGTGGCCATGAGCATGCCACTGCATTGCAGTCTGGGTGACAGAGTGAGACTCTGACTCAAAAAAAAAGAAAAGAAGAAGTAAGAAGGAAATTTAGACCTGGGCCTGGGACAGTGGTGCATGCCTGTAATTCCAGCAATTTGGGAGGCTGAGACAGGAGGATCACTTGAGGCCAGGAATCCAAGTCCATTCTGAGCAAGATGGCAAGATCTTGTCTCTACAAGAAAGAAATTTAGGCCAGAGGCTTGGTGATTTCCAAGTCTATATGTCAAGTCCAGATGTGCAAAATGATCTAGACTGGGCATACAGATGTGGGAATCATCAGCATAAAGGTTGTGTTGGGTGGCCATGTAAGTAAGAGCTCCCATAGTGCAGAGTAAAAGGAAATGAAAGTCAAAGAGAGACCTTGGAGAACTCTTGTATTGAAAGGATGGTCAGAGAAAGAAAAGCCAGCATAGAAAGAAACTAAGGCAGAATTATAAGAGAGCCGTGTCATGAAACTGGAAAGAGGAAAGATTTTTTTTTCCAAGAAAAAAAGGGTGGTCAATAATGCTATTTTAGTTCATTTCATGCTGTTATAACAGAATACCACAATTATTTATTTATTTATTTAGACTCAGAGTCTCACTCTGTTGCCCAGGCTGGAGTGCAATGTCAAGCTCAGGGCTACCACGGGCCTAACTGAGCTCAGGCAACCCTTCTGCATCAGCCTTCTAAGTAGCTGGAATTACAGGCACATGCCACCATGCCTGGCTAATTTTTTGATTTATTGTAGAGACAAGGTCTTACCACGTTGCCCAGGCTGGTTTTGAACCCCTGGGCTCAGGCAATCCTCTTGCTTCCACCTCCCAAAGTGCTGGGATTAGAGGTGTGAGCCACTGTGCCCAGTTTAATAATTTGTAATGAACAGAAATGTGTCAGCTCATAGTTCTGAAGGCTGGGAAGTCCAAGATCAAGGGACTGGCATCTGGAGAAGGCCTTTGTGCCATGTCATCCCATGACAGAAGGTCAAAAAGAGAGTGGGGGTGGGAGGAACGAAACTTGTCCTTTAGTAAAGAGCCCGGTCCCAGGATAAGGACATTAATCTGTGCATGAAGGCAGTGTCCCCATGACCCAAACACCTCTCATTAGGCCCCATTTCCCAACCCCATTGCATTGGGGATCACATGAACCTGGGGGACACGTTCAAGTGCCACAGAGAGTTCAAGTATGCTGAGTATAGAGAAGCAGCTGGTAGAACTGACACTCAGAAGGCCACAGTGACAGGAGCTTCTTGTGTCCACAGGCCTCTCCAACACCAGCCAGACTCGTCTTGATTTTCACTTCTCCTCCCAGAGAACTGCTGGTGGCATGGAAGTCCAGCAGGCCAGCCTCGTGTTCTTTGTGCAGCTCCCTCCCAATACCACCTGGACTCCAAAGGTGAGGGTCATTGTGCTAAGTCCATACACCAACTTCACCTTGGCTACTCAACACCTGCTCGAGGTGGATACCAGTGGCTGGCACCAGCTCTTTCTGGGGCCCGAAGCACACGCTGCCTGTAGCCAGGGCCACCTGACCCTGGAGCTCGTCCTTGAAGACCAGGTAGCCCAGAGCTCTGTCATTTGGAGTGGGGCTGCCCATAGGCCTTTCGTGGCAGCCCGGGTGAGAGTTGGGGGTAAGCATCGAGTTCGCCGACGAGGCATCGACTGCCAGGGAGGGTCTAGAATGTGCTGTCGGCAAGAATTCTTTGTGGACTTCCGTGAGATTGGTTGGCACGACTGGATCATCCAGCCTGAGGGCTACGCCATGAACTTCTGCACAGGGCAGTGCCCGCTACATGTGGCAGGCATGCCTGGTATTGCTGCCTCTTTTCACACTGCAGTACTCAATTTGCTCAAGGCCAACACAGCTGCAGGCACCACTGCAGGGGGCTCATGCTGTGTGCCCACAGCCCGGCGCCCCCTGTCCCTGCTCTACTATGACAGAGACAGCCACATTGTCAAGACTGATATTCCTGACATGGTGGTAGAAGCCTGTGGATGCAGTTAATCTGTGTGGTGGGGGCAGCCCAAGGTGGGGTGGGCAAACATGCCCTCGAAGAAGCACCCTTCCTTGAGAGAAGGGAAGGACCCCATTCTCTGCCCAGAATGTGGATGCCCTCTTCCTGAGCACCCTGTGGAAACTGTCCCAACTTGGACCTGAAGAGACCTTCATGTGAGGAGAGTCACTGCCCCATCTTCATGACCCTTGCCTGGGGACAGTCCACCCAGCTAGCCTTTTGGCTCAACCTCCACCCCAGAAACTCGGACCTGCCTTCAGTCACGAGCAATGCCATCTGGTTCCCAGGCACAGACACCTGTAGCCCACCCGCAATTCACCCCATAACCCACTGTGCCTCCCTGCCCTGTCCACACCATGGTCCCCACCACAGGATGAATTGACTCAGCCGCTTCCCCTGATTTTTCTGGATCTCCAGGGTGCTCCTTCTTTGAGTTCACTAAAGATCAGATCATTCTGCTCTCCAAAGTAAGGCTTGCTCCACTCTGTCTTGAGCCCCTTCCCATCTTGTTTTTTTTTTTTTTTTTTTCTTTTTGAGTTGGAGTCTCACTCTGTTGCCCAAACTGGAGTGCAGTGGCCGCTCCCGGCCACCGCAGCCTCGACCTGCTGGGCTCCGGTGATCCTTCCGCCTCAGTCTTCCAAGTAGCTGGAACTACAGGCGTGCGCTACCACACCCGGCTAATTTTTTTATTTATTGTAGAGATGAGGTCTCACCAAGTTGCCCAGGCGGGTCTCGAACCCGCGGACTCAGGCAATCCACTCACCTCAGCCTCCCAAGGCGCGGGATTACAGGGTGAGCCACCAAGCCCGGCTGAGCCCCTTCCCTTCTTACCCACCTTCCCAGGGGAGCTGCTGATGCTCTCTTTGAGTACAGTCACCTGGTTTTTTTTTTGTCCTTCTTTGCCTTACTCTGTGCCCTTAGGGGCTAACTCACCTGACCTACACACTTCAACTGAGCTCCTTGTTCTCTGGCTTCCTGCTGGGTTTGACCAGAGAAGACACAGGTGGGAAACCAAAACATAGGAGACAAAGGTCAGGGAAATTCTTTCTTTTTTTAGTTGGAGTCTCACTCTGTTGCCTAGGCTGGAATGCAGTGGCATGCTCACACTCATGGCAGCCTCCCCAAAATGCTGGGATTACAGGTGTGAGCCACTGCACCCTGCTAGACCAGGGCATTACTTATTCCTGCTCCCTCTCTGCCTACAGGCCATAGTTCCTGTAACTGGCTGGGCTGTGTCCCTGTAGTGCCAGTCTGGCTGTAGGGACAGTTCTGCCTGGAGGGGTCCCAATGGCTTTCCACTTGGCGAGTGCCCAGAGCTTCAGCCTCCCTATGGGTTCCCTCCACCCACCTGTACCTCTATGCCTAACACCTTCTCTCAGTCCTCTTGATGAAGCAAACACAGAAAGCCAAGTGGGTCCTCTGTCTCCTGCCAAGACCCCAGATGACACAGAGCCTGTCAGTCCTGCCCACGCTGCTCTCTTCACATGGGCTGCTCATTCCTCTTCCTCCCCGAAGCTGTCTCTCTCTT